TTGCATGTGGAATAGTTCATGAATAGTGCATAATATGGCATATTTCACGAATATGGCATGTGGCATAGTTCACGAATATTGCATGTGGAATATTTCACGAATATGGCATGCGGAATATTTCACAGGTAGTAATTGTTGGATGTTTGAAAGAGATTTGTTCATGATTTACAAGGCAACCAAGGCTGTCAATGTGGGTTTTTTTTTAAATCCTCATATTTTTATCTGTTGTTGGAGATAAATTGTGTTTCATAATTTTTGTGATGGGAAATTCCTAACTAGGGTGGAACTGAGATGTATCTTATATGAATTTCATAAAATTTCATTAAGTGTAACAAAGTGCGCTCATCAGAAGTTATAAAATGCTCAAATTAATGTATTCACTTGGTGTAAATTTGGACAGCCATATTGCCAAATCTACGTGTACATGTACAATAGGTCTGACCTTTGAGTAAATGTCTATGTGTTTGTTTATTTCTTTTTAGCTTCATATTGTTCAGAGAAAATGTTGTTGTAAACATGCAAAAAGGAGCCTGTTCTCTGAGAAAGCACAGTGGAAATAAGCCATTTGCGAGTGACCTATACCCTTTGGGATTTGTCGTCTGGTACACTGACTTGCTCAGAATGCTTGGCACATTGTAACTGTGAATTCTCCAGACCAAAGACACTGTTGCTAATCACATGATTTGGGGCAAGCTCTTGCATAGTTAGGTAAGAGACGCTCAGCATTAATACATTCTTCACAATGGGTGAGAATGGCACAAAGACACCAGACCATGCCGGAGCTGGGGGTTGCTAGCATAAGGCTTGCCCCGACTCACGCGATATAGCAATAGTCTCTTTGGTCGGGAGAATGCAAAGTTAAATCCATAACTCGCATATGCCTTCTTGAATTCACTTGATTTTCTGAAAGAATTCCAAATTTCCATTCACGCTTGGTCTTGATACGGTCATGGCTGGCTGCCTGTACAAGCATGACAACTCTGTCAAGAACCTTTCAACTGCTTCAAACTCCGCTTCGCAAAAGTTATTTGAATACAGCTGCTTCAGAGTATGGCTGGCTGCCTGTCCAGTGAAGTACCTTACAAGAGCGGTACTTGTCTCTGGCTCTCCTAGAAATAAAAACCCTAAGGTATCTCGTGAAGAATGTTGTTTTGGAAGCAAAAAAAGATCTACTTGTATCCGGCAAGATCTGCCTTGAGAGAGTTTTTAAGAAGATGATCTTCTCATCCAAAATTTGCATTGCTGTTGTAATTTATGTCCTCCTGAAAGACTTCAAAACTGCTTTACTAACAACATAATGTGTTGTTTTCAGCAAATGCAAACAAAAAGATCTAAAACATATCAAACATTTGCCTGCAGTTGCTTGAAAAAGATGATTTTCTCATCCAAAATTTCATTTCAGTTGTCATTTATGTTCTCCCGAAAGACCTCCAAAACCAGTTTATAAGCAAATAATGTTTTTTTTTCTAAAATGCTTCATTTATTTCGAGTTATGTTTGCAATTGTTGCATTTCACCCTCTCCCTCGAACAAAAAAAGCGCCCCTCAAACATTGACTTCTTTTTATTTGTACACTGCTCTTTTCAATCAAATCATGAAGTGAACATGAGAGCTTTTTTTTGCAACTCAAATGTAGTGCTTTTCATTAGGACTGTTTAAGGGCTTCGCATTAATGTAATATATATGCACAGCTGCGGTATATGCCAGCAACACAGTCGGAACTAGGAACTTCCGTCGGATGGCAACTGGGGTTGTAATTTCAGTCGGCGCTCGCTGAATGTGCAGACTTTGGTGGTGGGCTGATGGATTTTACGCGAACGTGATTTACGTGGGTGCGTTTTACGATTGCTTTCAAGTCATTGAATATTCACATTATCTTATTACCAATACCAGGCTTCAGGGTTTTTTTATCCGCATATATTTCACAGATGAGATCATTTTTTGAAGCCACATTATAAACAGATTACTGCTGCTTCGTGCCATTTCATGCAATCATTTTGTGAAAATTGTTTAAAACAAATGAGGAAAACCTATGTGTAGGAGTTGATTTTCCAAGGGACAAGGGACTCAAATAGGCAGTCAGATTTCTGGGCAGTTTCTGTATTTCTGAGTGGGTACAAGGTTCAATGTATGTTGATTTTACAGTGTGATAGATCTAGCTTTGGGCAGACGAATAAGCAGTTGTGATAATTGATGGATTTCTATCGAGCTTGAAAGTTCATTGATAAAGACACCGTGATGGTGTCGCAAGCTCCTGATACGAGCTCTGTAACTCAAGTCCCAAAAAGGTATCTTCTATTTTCTTGATGCATTTCTAGTCTTCAAGTCAGGCAGTTCAGTGTATGTTTTATTTGGATTTATGGAAATGCTTTCTGTTTCATGTAAATCCTTCTGCCCTGACACGTAGATATATCAAAATATCTCCGACTTATAATTCCATCACATACCTTCATGTGAAAACAGAGGTGGGAACAAGGTGAAGAACACAAACAAACAAACACGCACACAAACAAACAAACCAATTCTAACATTCTTGGTTGAAGGTTTTCATCAACACCATTCGTAACAAAAATTCTGGGCATTTGCACAATTCTGCACATAGTGGTTCAACAAGAGAAACAAAAATAAACTGTTTCGGTCTTTTGACCCAAAAAAAGGGATTTTTTGATTATGTGGCAATCACAAGTTTGTCGTGACGTGAATGCCATCGTGCTTATTACGTTTACATTGTCACTTCGCGTCGAGGCTGCTGCGTGCTCACTGCGGTGATTTGATCAAGGACAAGGCGCCGTCTTTTTGATTTGATTTGTCAATCTTGTGGAAGATGTTGTGCATACGAAACACGATGACATTTGCCTCCACATAGCACTACACATATGCGTGCACATGCAGGCTCAGGCAATACACGTAACAATGTATGTAAGAAAATCATGTTATGTACATGTACATGTTTACAAAGTCATGTTGTCATTATTTTCACATGCATCAGAATGGAGTGTGTTATCCAATTTAATTTAATTGGTCATTGTGAAGCTGAAACAACTAAGAAAACATAATTCACTGCTTTTCTGTTTGAAGACATATCTCTACTTGAATTTATTCACACTTTTTCTGCACACCTTCAGAAATTGCATGCATCCATGTGATAGTGCATGCAATTTCTTTGACTTTATTTTCCCAAAATGTTTTATGATTGTTTATAGTAAACATTTATCGATCAATGCAGTTTTTATTTTGTACAATATTTTTTAATGTTTGAGTTTTAAGCATCGGAGAGGCAGGTTGGATTTTAGAGGGAAAAATTGAAGGTATTTAAAACAATTTGAATCAGAAAAAAATCTCAGGATTTGTTTTCCGAAATGCTAGAAAAAAACAATGAAATATTTTGTACATTTTGCTTATTCATTTTGGGAGACTTTAGGAAATTTTGGACATATTTGTGAAGTGCGGGAAAATTTTAAAAGATTGAGGTATCTAGACTTTCAGAAATCTTTGGAGCCTTTGCAGACAAAATATTGAAAATACTTGCATACCTAAGAACAGAAATAAGCAAACCTTTGTGGAATTGAATCTTCACATTTTGTATCGTTTTTTTTTTTAGTTTGAGAAAATTCCTTATGATAGTGTTGTTCATTTGGAAGTAAAAATCTCGTCAGATGCTGTTTCTTTAACTTTATGCCTAAGAAGAAATTCAACCAATTTTAGCTTTTGTTGAATTGCAGTACGCCTTTTGTACTGAACAGAAAAAAGTAAATTGAACTGGGTTTTTTTGTGTGTGTTCACAGTTTTACATGTATATTTCAACCTACACACTCTTTACACAAAACTAATATTAACAGCCAATATGCAGTGTGCAGTTCCTGTAATTAAACCCACACAAACGTCATTTACTTTTGTTTTCATTGAAATTGATGACTGTAATTTGTGTATACAGAGGGCAGTATCACAGCAAGGTTAATTAGGCACCACATGTGCTGGTATAAAATTTCATGTACTGAACAAAATTTGCATTATGCCTGATGTACATGTTGGAGACTTTTTGGTCAAACCTTTGCTGAGGTCTGATATGTTTTGTGTTCAATTTGTTTTTGGTTGTGATGGCTTTTTAATGTGTAAATATATATTTTTTTCACTAGCAGATGTATTTAAGTTTTAAGTGGGTGTATTATGAATTTCTGTATTCAGTTTTGTATATAAAATGAAAGGTTATAAATGAATACGAATTTGCTCTGAAATGCTTTGTTATTGGTCAAGAGGATTTTCATTTAAATAATCTATTAATATTATACTATGCAACTCCTTTACAATGAATGTAAATGCATTCTCTTGATTCTTTGAAGGTCACGTGCCCTTAGTTAAATTAAAATTATTATTAATATTGTTATTATTATTGTTATTTTTTTTTTTGAGTTTAGTACTTTTAAAGGTCATTCTATGTAAGATTTGTACATTAAATATACAACCCTGTATATTTCAGTGTGTGGTGTAAGCGGTACTTGTTCTGTGTATAAGCATATAAGCCCCCTTCTGTGAGAGTATAATTAAAAATGCATTTATATATTGAAAAATATTTGTGGTGATAAGATGTTTTTGTTGTGCACCAAGGTGTTCTTGCATCTATGGACGGAAATTTAAAACATCGCATTTTGATTGGAAATCAGCATACCCGATTTGATGTTAAATTAGCCCCCCCCCCCCCTTAACAAACTCCCTCACCCCCTTTGGAATATACAGATATCTTTGTTAGTTTATGGATTACTTTTACAAATAACTTTATTTTGCCATCGATACAATTTCGTATTTTGTCCCTTGAGTAAAACTTTTGATAAACTGGGTATCTTAACCACGCCCACTGTAAGATCAGCGATTAATGCCAATGACGAGTGAGGGCGCCCTATTACATTATCGGTGGTAAATTGTGTGCACAATTTTAATGCGCAGGCTTGGTAGCTCGTCCCCAGGGCATATTTATGTTTCAACCAAGGAGTGGGTAGTGGGAGCGTACTGCTCGACACCATGGGACCGAGGTCACAGACGCGGGGATTTTCCCAAAATGGCGGCAAACTTGTTCGTGGGTTGGAAAAGTTGACGGGAGTTTTACGAACTGCAGAAGTAGCCAAATAAGTTTTGAGTGGATTAGTGTCGAGAGCTACAGTCCACTGAAGATAACGGTGTGGTGGACATAAGTTGGTTGTCGCGGTAAGTTGGGGGAAATCTGTTCGAAATAAACTTTTTCTGACGAATGAATCCCAGTTTTGACACACGTTGATTACCAATCGAAAGGAACGGATAACCGTCTATTTCCGACATACATGCATACTCGCTCTCTCCAGTATTGATTCATAGTTAAAGTGTTTTAACCTTTCCAAAATTACTTGTGCAACATGAGGCAGTCTGTAATGACCCATTTTTGACCAACTCTAAGTCTAAAACAGTATTTTACCCCAAACCCAAACTTCCTTCAAAAAAGTTCAATCGTCGCGCGTCAAGAATCAATAAAATCGAAACCCTGCCCTAATATATACACAACATACCTGTCAGGTTTAAACGTTCCTATTAACATTTTGGCCTACTTGGGTGAGGCCACCACTTTTTTCAATTAATTTTCAAGCACCAAAAGTTGCATCCTTTATGGTTATTCCCTCCCCTTTCCCTTCCTCTACTCTCGCCCTCTCCTTTCCTTTATTCCTATTTATTAATCAGTCACTTACTTCATTAATCAGTCACTTACTTCATCTAGCCCCATAAATGTGCTTGAAATACTGGACTACCTCTGTATTATTCAACCACAAAACGCCATATGATATACCTTGGCCTTGCGGGCGTGGAAGGTCCCGTTGCTACAGCTAGGAGAGCAGAAAATCAAATTAAGATTGGAATTATTTTGTCACTTGATAATCACCCAATCGATAGTATGACTGCTTAATCAAGAAAACAATTAGCCCATACATTTGGCATGTTTGGCCAATTTACTGGACTACCGCCGTAAATAAGGGCCACACTTGGGAAAATACTGAACTTTCTGAAGCATCAAAAGTTTGAATGATATCCAAAATGTGTGTATTTCAAATCTTGGGGTTTTGCAGCAAAGGAAAACTTGTAGCAAAGGGTCTAAATCATATTCATTTCTTTTACATCAGGATAGACATTTGCTACTAGTATTATTCTGTCAGCAAAATGGCGAGTTGCTCCAGTCCGCCCAAAAAGAGACCCAAACTGTCGCTGAAGTTCATGAGGAAAGATCGACCCGCTGCAGCAGACGATGATGATGTCGCTCAGACAAGTAGCAGCGGCAGAACTGGACACAACAGTGCCCCAAATGGGTTGGTGTACTTAACCCTTCTTTTGTTAGATCAGTGACTAGTTATGTTCCATCGACAGACAAAAGCAAGTACAGTGGAACGTGGCTATACCGAACATTCGGCTAAACCGAACATCATGCTTCAGCTTGGCTCCCGATTTTTGTGTACAAAATGTACCGAACATTGTTGTTGGAAACCGTCAACAGAAGAGCGACAAGTGGCTATTATTTCCCCGAAGAATAGAAGGGGAAAGCCACCCATCGATGTAGGTAGTAAGCTCAAAAACTGTGTAATTACATAATTCAATAGTCGACACGTGTTCAATTAGATTTCAGTAAAATCCAGGGCGTGCAGGGTAAAGTTCTGAAGGGCGCCATTTATTGAAAAGTGAGTACCGGAGCACCAGCAGCTTAAAATCGCTAAATCCTACAATTGCTATTACGAACAATTTATGTGGGTCCCGCAATGTTCGCTATAGCGGCGTTCCACTGTACATTGTAAACGGTAGGCACAGCCAGCTTATCAGATCAATCACCTGCAGTCAAAGCATGGCTATATCACAGCCAGTCGATCTGCTTTATGAAGGCAGGGAGCACTCAACTTTGAAAAATAGTCACTTGATTGATTTTGACAGCTGGGATGGCCTTATTGAAATTGCCAGTCAGAGAGGGAGGGTTAAAAATGCAGTTTAAGTTTGTGGATGTGGAGATTTCACCCAAAATATGTTGTTTTAGCATTCAAATGTTTGAGAAAGCTACAGTATGTATCAATTTGCACTGGATCGTTCTTGGAAATCAGTTGAAAATGTATTTGAGAATTTGTAGATTTGGATCCCGTGCAAGTTTTTGTTTTTGTTTATCAGGATAGCTTTTGTTGTTATCAGGCTTGATGTTTACCATCAGCCTGTGTTGAGCAACATGGGGTGACTTTGTGGACAGGATCCAAAAGCTGTCAGTTGAGGATGTTATTAGTGCTCCGCCCATGCTCAGTCAGTGAATTAAATGTAGTCGTTCAGTTTATCAGACAGTCAGTCTGACGTAAATCAGTGATTCTCAACAATAGGGTGGCTTCTTGGGTGCAGCAGAAAAATAGGGTTTCAAAGTTATCAAAGTTAAGTACGTAAACATGCAATTGTATCACGAAAAGGGTGTGTCCAAAACAACCAACAGGATACCCAGATTCCCTTTTGGCTTAAACCTTTGTATAAATAACCATCCCCGCAGGCAATCCAACTCGACAAGCAGTGCGGCGGCCGCAGACCTCCCCACCGCCCAGACCTCAAGCTCCAGGGACGGCCAGGCGGAGTTGGTCCGCTCCCCTCCCCCGCCGTTCGCCGGCCTGCAGAACCTGGGCAACACCTGCTACCTGAACAGCGTGCTGCAGGCCCTGCGCTTCTGTCCAGGGTTCTGTCAGGGGTTGTGTCGGCTGGCCAGTGTGTGGGAGAGGGTGTCGACGGAGCAGGGCAGAGTGAAGGAAGGGGGCGGGGACAATGATGACAGGCCAGGGGGCGGACAAGAGATACAGTTTGTCTTGAACTTAAAGAAGGTAAGCATTTGCGGAGGATTTAGTGAGGTATCCAGCAAGGTTCTGGGAGTTAGGGTTGGTGGTATTCAAACTCTGTACATACCCGTAGGGCCCTTCGTCTTACATCAGCCCCCCTCCCCCCAGGGTATTTTTTTGTAGAAGTCCTGCCCAGAGCAACAACATGCCACACTTGTCAAAGTGAGAAGCCTGCCCAATGTAGCAAGATCCACCAGGTCCAAATTTCCAAGGTACATCTGCCTCAGAGTCTGTGGTTGCCAACTGCGACAGGATATGACGGTGGCACTGTTCAATGGGACAAGCTGTCATTGTCTAAAAATGAGCAGTTTATGCAATGGTGTTGATGGCTCAAGGTGCCACAGTATAAATCAGTTCACGTCGGATGACGTGTATACACGCAAAGGTTTTGCAGTATTCAGAATGGATGACAGATAAACACGCAATGAGCGAGGCCGGTAATATCAGTCTGCAACCCGCTCGCAGCGAGCTAGGCCAGAAATATCAGGGTGTGCTACCCGCAGATGACGGCCTGAACCCGTCTGGCATCGAGGTTCGTGGAAACAATCCCGCGCCTGGGTCCGGTCATGTCAAATAATCCTAGCGCAAACTGGTTAAACAAACTGCTCAGTGGTGAATCTTGGCAAGGTTAGAGCTAGTCTGATTGTAATTATTCTTTGACTGTTTTACTTGCAGCTGTATGACAAGATGTCAGCCAAGGAAGCCAGTTACCTCGCTAGTCCATCATCCGATGCCTCTATCTCCCTCTCTCCTGATGAGGTCTTGGAGACAGTCCGGTAATATGAAAACAAAATTGTAAAATGATAATTGTGATGAGTAAAGCCATCTTTCCATATTTGTTCTCATTAACACTTCACGGTAACCAGTAAAAAATTTTGGTGTCATTCCAGGGATCTGAACCCGATGTTCCAAGGCTTCTTACAGCATGACTCCCAGGAGCTGCTGTGCTGCCTCCTCAGCTACATCCTAGACGCCTGTCAGAATCTCAAGAAGCAGCTCGTCAAGTTGCGTCCTCCGTCCCCTCCAGCTTGTATCAAAGATGACGTTGTGGTGCCAACACGCGAGTCCTGTAAAGTGAGCGGACTTGAAAAGCGTTCGGCATCCGACAAAGTGGCGAGAGGACCCGCCAAGACGGAAAGTCCAACAGGAACCTCGCAGGTGAATGGCAGACTCGATGTCAACTCCTCAGTGTGTGATCAGAAAGACTCTACAGTGAGTGGAAACGGGGGCGGCGCGGCGGGTGTCAGGAACGGGAAGAAAACACCCCAACGGCGATCTCGGACAACGAGCAGTGATTCTGTCGTCGGTAAGACCGCAAAAAGTTCGTCTGAGGTTGGTAAAACGAACGGCGACCTGGTCAATGGATTCGTAGATCATCCGCCGGGTGACGGTTCTGAAGACGCCAAGGGGTGCAGCACGAAGCAGGACATCTCGGTCAAGAAAAAGCGATTGGGCAAATTTCGCATTTCTGCCAACCAGACGACTTTGTTAACGGCCTTCGCAGCCCACAAGAAAGAAACCATACCCCCGAACGGGGTAAGGAAAGACCTTGAAAACGAAATTAGCAATGCACAGGTGAACGGAGACGATACCGCAGTGAACGGTGTAAGTGAATCTTGGGAACCTGTCGACCAGCAACAAGCAAACCAGTCCTGTGCAACAAAATCAGAAACTGAATCAAAGGCCAGTTGCGCCAAAGCATCGGTGAACGGCAAGGGTTGCGTCACTCTCAAGCAGACATTTTCAAAACTGTCAGTGGGTTCCGGAAGTGCGGAAAGCCCATCTGTATCTTCAGAAACCGGGAAGAAGGGTTCACCAGACTCGTGGGCCAGGACCATGGAGGAAGAGTTGGATCTGATCCGGGGGCTGTTCCAGGGATGCCTGCTGCTGAGAACAAGATGCAATGAGTGCGAGAGCTACTCGGAGAGAAGGGAGGAGTTTCAAGACATCAGTCTGCCGGTGCGCAGTATACCGAGGGGCACTGGGGATGAGGAGGGTGCTGGCATGCCAGGTATAAACTGAAAACTTTTGATCTTGAAATTGGGTAGATCTTGAAGGTCGTAGAGAGGACGGATGGAAGGAGAAGAGTAGCCTGTATCTTGAAGTTTTGATCTTGAAGTTGGGTAGATCTCGAAGGTTGTAGAGGGGACGGATGGAAGGAGAATAGTAGTTTGTATCAGGCGGCAGTTTTTGAATGCTTGATGTAACCCTGAACTGAGGAAATGCAAGATACTGTTTTTTTTATTTTATTTTTTTTATATATATATATATTTTTTTTAAAGGAAATTGGGGAAGACTAATCAGCATGGCTAGGAGGATATTTTTTAGAAGGAAAATTGGGGAAGACTAACCAGCATGGCTAGGAGGATATTTTTTAGAAGGAAAATGGGGAAGACTAGCCGGCATGGCTAGGAGGATATTTTTAAAACAGCAAAGTTGGGAAGACTAACCAGCATGGCTCGGAGGGTACTTTTTAGAAGGAAAATTGGCACAGCTAGTAGCCTAGGATGAATAGTAAAGGAAGTTTACGTTAGGCCGTAAAAACGCAGCGCGGGAAATTACAAGGATTGTAAGGAACGGATCATTAAAACATATACCGGAAAGTGAAGTAGTTTTTAGGTTAGTATAAGTAGTAAGAAATGCCGGCATGTAAAAGCTCTTACCAGTCTGTTTTGGTAAATTTGACAAGAAACCAGAAATTTGTCTAAAAAGCGAGACTCATCAGGTACAGTTCGCTAGACATTGGGTAGGTTTCGTCTCGAGACTGTACGACCTACCCCGTAAGAACTTTCACGTGTTGTTAAAGAAAGAGGAAAAGGCACAAGTATAAACGTACAAATTATCTTTGAATTGGTCTTATGGTAAACGGAAGAAGAAGAGAGAGGTGACAAGTCTGGCTCGGGATTTCTTTACAGTGCCTTGCACCGTGGCACCGCTTGTTTAGCGTAGCGTGGCGTGGCGTGCTAGGCTATATGGAAAGAAGGGGTTGATAAGCGACCGATAATCTAGGTGCAATATGTATATTTTTTCCTAAATTATACCAGTTTATTTTAACATGACGTTATAGGTTTATATAAGTTTGTAAGTCGGATTAGGGGGAATAAATAACAATGGCTTTATTTTTTAGTCAGTTGTTGATGTTATATCATAATTTTTATTTCAAAGAAACGGGGTATGTAATTGGGTTTCCTCGTTTTTTTCTAAATTCCCAGTTACATGCCTGTGCTTAAGATCATTTAGACTAGTGCATTTGGATGGTATGTAGAGGGCGATATAATTGGAGATCCTTGTACAGTTTCTGACGATTTACCATAGTTGTTTGAAATAAAGTAGGAAAAAAGATGAGCTTAGCCAAATTTAGCGCAGTTATTGACTTCTAAGGGGGGTACAAGAATGTTTTATTTTGCATTTATCAGCTCAAACTTAAATGACCTACATGTAGTTCATTTTGTCCAAGCAGGCATAGAATCTAATTTTACCCTTAGTTATGACAACTGCCACATACTGATTCGGAGATTTCCAATTGAAACGTATCCTGGCTCAGTAAGTTTTCCGTCCTCAGAATAATTTTCACTGTTTATTTACTTCTACCCAGAAGTTTCTCCAGCAGACCTGTCCCTGAGCTGGGCCATCTCGGAGTTTGCCTGCGTGGAGAGACTGACGGACGACAACAAGTATTTCTGTGAGCATTGTCACCATCACGCCGAGGCCGAGAGGAGCATGCTGTTTGGAGAGCTGCCCCCGGTCCTGACCATCCACCTCAAGAGATTCAGTGCTTTCGCTGGCTTGTGAGTACTCCAAAGTGCCACTGTATCCAGTATCCTGAATTCTATGATGTGTGTGTGGGGCTTGATGGTTTTTATTCTTTCCGAATAAGTAGTCAAAGCGACCATTTGTTCTTTAATTAAAAAGTTTGGTGTAATGCAGCGTTATCATGTTCTTGTGCATGTAGTCCTATGTTTTCAATGTTGCTGTTCAAGGGACACGTTGGTTTCAAGTCTGTCTGATCTCGGTCAAACTAAATGTTTCAGTATAAATTTACATTGGTGAAGGGCAAGACTTGAACTACATGTTGAAGTCCGATTTGTGTCACCCTGAAGTTCAGAAAATAGCAACTGTTCTCTACATCATCTGAGCTGTTGGCAAATTTCATTGACTAAGATATCACGGTCCCGAAGGAATGAAAACTTTGGCGATTGTGTAGTTATGGGCCCCTGTTCCTATATGAGAACAAAGATCCAGTTTCAGGTTACTTGACTGTCGTAACAACTTAAGCGATGTTAGAGGCGACATGAATGGCATGGACAGAGGGAACGGTTTTGATTTTTTAAGGAAAATTTTGGGGTTAAAACGGCGATGATACGACAATGCAACATGGAAGTAAAGATAGCTATCACTGCAAACATTTGTTCTCTTATCTTCAGTTTGACAGCAGACAGCACCGTGTCAAAGGTCAACGACCACCTGGCCACTCCCCTCTCCCTCTGCCTGAGCCAGTGGTGTGCCAAGCAGTGCAAGCAGCTGCACTGCCGCTACGACCTCTGCGCGGTGGTCATGCACAGCGGGGTGTCCAGCTCCAGCGGTCACTACATCAGCTACGTCCAGATACCGGACCGCGACCACGAATCGCCGGAGCCAACAAACCTGCAGTCGCCGGGAGGGGCGGAGTCTCGCGAGCCCAGCTGGGGGAAGTTTGACGACGAGAAAGTCAGCGTGCTGTCGCAGCAGGAGTTGGCCTCCTCGGTCTTGCACCCCGTCTCCAGCTCGGGCAGTGCTGCGACACCCTATCTGCTGTTCTACAGGCAGGTCCAGGGATCTGACTTAAACTGATACCTTGACTCCTACTGTTTACTGGCATACTGAGTGATTGGGATGTTATCTGGGTCACCAGACATGTTGAAGAAATTCTATGCACATGCCTTTTTTTTTTCAATGTTGAATATTCATTTCTCAGAGAAAATGTAACTGTCATAGGGTTCAGTTGTTAATAATTGGAATGTGTTAATGGTCCTTAAAGTGAACGCCCATTAGTTGTTTGTGCCGTTACATGGAAAGTATGCAAATCCCAATTGTTTTATCATTTTTTTCTTCTTCAAATTTCATGCGCTGTGACCAAATGATTGTTTTTAACTGTTTTTTGTGTGTACTTCTCCCGCACAGATACTAGTAGTGGGAATAAGATCCGGATTTTTTTTAAATTTTTTTGAATCCCACTATTCAATTTGGATTTAAAATACTTTAAAAAAAATAAAGCCGTCCATTTTTTGTGACACAAGCTAAAAAAAAATATCGGAACATCCCCTAATTTGCTCCACGGTCTCTGATTGTGACTACATTCACTTACTAATGGTCTTCTTGGTTCAAGATTAGCCTGCTAATTCGACTGATCAGAGTTCCCATCCATTTTTATGCAGTACAACCCTGAATTTGTTTTGTTTGGAAATGCCAGCTGGACAATGAATCTCGCAAACTGTACCCAATCTTTGTGGATGGCATTGCATGCGGCGCCCCATCACTTCGTTGGCATGACTGTGAGCTGAATGAGAAGTTGCAGTGAAATAGGGCTGTTCATTTTCGAATAATTTAGTATTCGATTACTCGAAACTGTGTTTGACTGAATATTCAGATATTCGAAAGTGCCAGCTGCAACTGCTATGCCGGTAAAAAGTTGCACTAAAAGCGCGTCAGTTAAATTTTGCGTGCGGCAATTGATATGGAACGCATGAGTGTTTTGCACTGAGTATTGTACAACTGCAAAGGGCTTTAACCTACTAAAAGGCTGTGAACGATGAACAGCCGTCGACAAAAACAAGTTACCAATGACAAAAGTTGCACCCGACAATAAAGTGCTGCAACTTTACGATAAAATAGCGCCACAGTCGTGTGTGTATGTTAGTCTAGGGGCTAGACGTTGTTTTGATTTGATACGCGATAACCCACCGCCGCGCTAATCCACTGCGCTATCACGACCAATAATTATCATCCATGAACCCGTCAGAATGTCTAGGACATTTGCTAAAATCTCCTCCCGAAAAAACTAGTGCAGACAATTACGGTCCATTTTCAGTCCCACACATATTACACACAACAAAAGATTTGACCAGTGAAGTTGCACAAAGGTCTTGCTGCATCTTTTTACTACTGGAAGAAATTTGAGAGTCTGCTTCAGAACTGGGATAATTTTTTTTTTCAAACCGAATAACGGTTATCTGATTTCACTTTACTTGTACATGTAGTGAATTTAAAATCAGATAACTGTTATTCGGTTTGAAAAAATAATTAGGATAACCAGATTTTGAAATACCTCTTATTTCTCTCACCATTAAGAGATACAACTTCATATACTGGGTTGCTTGCTGTAAATTGTGCTTGTTGTAGGAAATAGGTCGATTTCCGTAACAAATCACGAAACTTTCCACTCGTTTATGAATCGAAGTTAAATAAAACTGTTTCACAGTTCCACATCAAATGATTAATCCTTTTAAATCAAAAACCCTGCCAAATACTTCCGACAATTTCATAAAAATCCATTTAAAAAAGTTTGTTTTTTGTCCTAAAAGGGTTTTAGGGGCCAAAAATGTATCAATAACTCACTTGGGAGTTTCGCATTCAAGCCGATCGAACTAAAATTATATCCTCGAGGATGTTTTCAAGGAACATGCGTGGCTTCAATTCATTCCTACCGATAAAATATTATAATTGCATTCACAAAATCTCTGAGAAATCCATGTTGGAAATGCAAACCTTTATATTGATGTGTTGTTGAATTAAAGTGTACAATGTACAGAGTTGTATGAGGGAAAGAGCATTTAGTAACTATGCATGTATATTTGGTCTTGCTCTCAATTTTTCTCTGCAGTTTACAACAAAATTCACCCTGTGCTGGGAAGTGTAAAAAAAACAATGTAAAATTATTTGTAAATGTTTTTTTTTTAACTTGATCTACAAGATTGTGTACTTAAAGAGGATTTGCTGAAGAAGTGGAGTCCCAAATGAAGAAAAAATGTACAGTATATTTATAAATGCATTGTATTTTAAAACCAAAGTCTGAAGAATAAAATGAAAGTTACAAAAGACGAGGCATTTACTGTGAATCAGTGTGTTCTTTATTAATCTATGTGAAATATTAACAATTAATAAGATGTTTTATGTAACACATCAAAAATACATTCTTGAGTATCATTTAAACCATACAGGTTCCAATCGCATGGGGGTGTCAAAGTACCATGTGACCATCCAGTTTCCCCATGATTGGCCATCATTGCAGAAGGCAAGCATTTGGATGGCAACCACGTTTTAAACTAGACGGTAGTGCTCATTACCTTCGCCAAAGAGGTTATGCTTACATCGGATTTGGTTAGTTTCTTGGTTGGTTGGTTGGTTTGTTAAGATAACTCAAAAAGTTATGAAGAGATTTGCGTGAAACGTTTTAGGGGTTGTCCTTGCTACGAGTACACATTTTCGGAGTGATCCGGATTTGGGTCTGGATCCAGGATTTTTTAAGGATTCTTCACCGTTGATGCAAGTACTTCTTTTGGGTGTAGACAATATGGCGGACAATTGTTCAGCCCTGGGAGACTTTGTGCTCTCCGAGTGCTTTCTAGTTGTTACGTAAAATAACTGCAAGTTCTTTATCAACAGGCATGATGGTCCTACCTGTGCTATCTACCATTGTGATAATCGTGCCGACCCAGCACTGGGTGTTTGCTGTGTTTTTCTCCCAGTTTTTGCCACCCATCACAGCTTTGAATGCTTGCCTTCTACCTGCAGAGCGTGGTGCTTAATGATCTTTGCCTACAATAACAACGCTGACTTTCAGGTAACCTGGCATAGGCAGGATTAGGTGGGTCAATGAGAGAGCCCAATAGACCATTATCATGTTGCGCAGCTTGACTTTTCCCCATTCAAATCAACATAACCAAAGCGAGGCTGGAAGGAAACATAGTCTGGTGCCTCTTTGCACAAAAAACATCATTCAGTACTGTAATATTGGATACATGTTGAAATGGTGGCAGCATGATAAAGGTCTATACTGTACATAGGTGTCAAAGTCAGAGAGTGTCAAATGAACTACTGTAAGATTCAAAATCTTCACGGTATTACAATTTAACCTTGACGCACTGTTAACCCTTTACTCACTGTACTCTTGAAACCTCCCCGCCTATTACCCACTGTAGCGCCCGAAACTGCCCAAGCACTCAATGGTTTTATTGATTCTTCCATGAATAAACACAATGTAACACAATGTAGTACAAGTGCTAAACAGAATTTTGTTTCCATTATTGATGCACATGAAAATCTGATGTCAAATTTGCTTCTAAGTTTTACTCCAAATTCCTAATGCATGTACAAACCAGTTTCAGAATTTTGTATGTTCTGCAGATTTTCTGTACACAAACTTATACTACCGAATAAATTTCCACAAATATAACTTTTGCATACCATACTTAAATTTGTTTACATTTGAGCACATGCTTTTGTTCCTGTACTTGATAGGTATTGACAAATACTACCTGTACAATGTACGTGCGTTAATTTTCATCTAATTTAATCTGAACCCTTTTTGACACTGCATTACACCAGCATAACTTCCGGTTTGTCACTCTTTCTATGCAGACAGATACAAATCACATAAACCGTTGTATTTTGAAGAAAGCATCTCATCTTAGGTCAATTGTAAGAAGAGGCTTTTCAAGATGCGTGATTCGTAGGTGACGGTGTTCTTGCCTTCATGCAGTGGTTCCTCTTCCAAGGGTTGCTCAATGACGGCCTTGACGTCCCGACCGTAAGCTGCGAGCAACAAAATTCAGATACAAAATTGTCAAGTTTTGTTCGCTCTTGAAATTCAAATTCAAATCTTTGGAATAATTTGGTCTGGCTCGACCCTGGAATGAATGGCAGTGTAAATTGGGTAGAAAGCACAACCAGGGTTTGATTTCACGAAACTCTTCTTTTCTTGCGACTCATCTTAGGACCAACGACAAGTCCCCGCTCTAAGATGGATCTTAGCTAAGACACATCCTAAGACCGATTTCACTAAACTCATTTTAAGCAAGACGCATCAAAACTACCAATTTGATGGCTGTTTCATGTTTGTTTGTTTTTTATTTTAAAGAAACGCGCAAAACCAACTTCCTGTGCGCGTGCATAGAACACGAACTTTCGCCAGAAAAATTGCTCTACTCAATAAATTTCACAGGCAAGGTAGGTCTACACCAGATACGATAGAGTCATTCTTGCTCTCCCTTTCATCACTCTATTTTAAAAAGTCGACTAGGTGTCAGTGTATAACTCAATTTTGTAAACTAGCTACTTTTATTAAAACTACCCACGTATCAGAAATCTTTTCAAATCTGTTTCGGCAATGGTTTTCTTCCTCAAAACTATAACTCTAGGCTGACACTTGTCTTTAACAGCAATTTTCCTGACGATGTACAAATTACGCACGTATTAAGAGATAAGACGACCCTCAGACCAATCATAAATTAAAACGAGTTCAGCCACGTTGAAAGTGTCGTAAGTTTTGTGAAATCGATCCTAAGACGAGTAACGAGTTTAGACGAGTTAACCTTCCCACAACGCGTCTTAGTGTTTCGTGAAATCAGCCCAAGGTTCGTAATGTACAGTAGGCAATACCAAACAAACAAGTTCCTTTCTTGGCCCACACCTGACGCTCACAGAATGGAACTCCAATGAAAACTGATGACAATTTTTCATAAATAATTTGAAGGTTTTTTTTTTGGGGGGGGGGTTGTTCTCCTACCTTCACAATGTTCAAGGAACTGAACGCATTCGTGGATGACACTGTCTCTCAACATGATCATGTGCTTGGCCATGTTCTCCAGTAAGGACAGGAAGCAGCGCTTGGCATAGAACCAGGTATCCGTGCCCAACTACAAAGGAAAGCAGGAAACATCGAAATCAATCTTGGGCTAGTGAAATGAAGTCTAGTGAAAAGGAAATATGGGCTGTTTAGAAGTGTCATATTAGAATTGTCGGATGCGGAAGCTTACATCAGCAGGACATTTTTGTAAGAAAACATTTAGGAATGTGCCAGAAGGAATAGGCTAATCTCCAATTTAGCAGAATAAAAAAGTGTACTGAAAATGAGGATAAAGGAAAATAATACATCGTTTATTTATTTATTTAGTTATTTATTAAAGATATACCTTTTCTACAGGACAAATATGTATCACATGTACATGTACATTTAGAAATAGTTTTTGTATTTAAAAGTGTTTAGTCTATATAAACCCCAACGGTACTAAGTCCCCATTTCTAACTATTTTCTCACAACAAATTCAGTATTGTCTGTTCTTGTGTCTAATGATGAGAAGCTTGCTGTTGCTTTTTTTATATAGCAAGAAGCAACTTGACATGTAAAAAAAAATAATAATGTTTTTGATAACATAACAAATGTCAAATTTCTTGTTACATTTCTTGACATCAGAAAACAATTCTTCTTTAAAGAATTTGGAGTGAGAATAGAAAACCTTTCTTGAAATAAGATTTTGTTTGTGATTTTAAGAATTTTGGCAGTGGAAATTTAGGCACTAACCCATTCCCCTTCAACTATGTTTTAACCAACCTGGAGAAAATCATAAGTAAACTGGTTTTAAGAGCTGTTAGTCGTGTGTTAATTCCAATCAGTTTCTTTACCTTCTTATTGTATGGTTCCAAGCTCTTGATAACCCGTGAGATGCCAAACTCATAGTTGCCCTTGGCGCAGTACAGGGTACCGATGACCAGGTTGACGATGCAGAGATGGTAGATCTTCTTGTCTGGCTCGTCGTAAGCTATCTGCTCTTCTTCCTTCTCAATCTTGCGCATCAGTTCCTCCGCCTACAAGATGCCAACCAAGATGCGAAAAAATGTGAGAAGAAAGCAACCGACGGACAGATGTTACATTTGACAAAAGCAGCATCAGTTATGTTCAGTCAAACTTATCTGCCCCGAACCGACCTGCCTTTTTCTCCCTACACCGCCCCAAACTGCCCCAGAACAATATGTAATACCGTAATCTTTCTGTCTTTTTATTCACTATGATGTACTTTACATTTATTGTTGATTCTGTAATGCGCTTTTGATCATTTATATGCAAATGGGGCATTATAAATTTAAATTATCATTATCATTATTATTATGTACAGGTGCTATTGTGTTAAAAGTAAAGTCTATCACGAGCCAATATTGCCCACAGGCAATGAAACAAACTGAAAATATTTCTATTCCCCCTGGATGGGATGCCAGTCCATCGCAGGTTACTTTCCAGCTAATGCTGGTACCCATTTATACTCCTGGGTGGAGAAAGGCAAGTGGGGATGAAGTGGCTTGCCCAAGGACACGACATATGGCCAGCAGCTGGATTTGAACCCCTGACCCTCTGATCGTAAGTCACAAACTCTAACCACTCAGCCACACTCCCAATACAGGGTTAACTATTTATTAACCTTTTTTAACGACACATATACTTGGAACTTTTGCTTGATAAAATATTTTTTACGTACCTCTTCGTTGTGACTGGTCATGATGTAAGATACACACAGGTTGGCCAACACAATGGCACTCACATTCAGAATCTATGACAGAAATGAAAAACAAAATTATGAAGCTGAACATTTCATTGATAAAAGCTCTTTTGTATTTACCAAGACAAACCATTTAGGACCGCTGTCCATTTTTTTGCTTTTGTGTTGCTCCAACACAGTGGAAATGGCATATTATTTTTGCCGTTAAATTTGTATTAATTTTCTTTTACATATTGCATAAACAGTTTATCCTGCATTAATATTTTCCATATGCATTTATCGTGTTTTCCAAAACTCACTAGCAGTTGTAATATATGCAGGGCTCTAATGGAAACCATTTTAGCATCCTGGGTAACGTAGACAATAACAAACTCAAAAACCTTCACAAGTTTTCTGATTTTTATTTTCAAACTCACATTGTCGTAGTTCTTCTTGACGATGGGCTCGTAGAAGCCAATGGCCTCCTTGTACTTGTTCTCCTGCATGAAGAGCACGTGGGCCACGTTGAGTTTCCAGACGTCGTGCTCGTTGCAGAACTCCACCGACTTGCGGAAGATCTTCTCCACCTGGGTGTAGTGCTCAACGTCCCAGTAGATCTTAGCCTGCTGCATCAGGACCGGTATGTACCTGGTGACAGACGTGATGATTAAGAACTGAACGATGGGCCATTATTCTTCTTCTTCAAATTTGGCTTGTCTCAAGCTTTGTCTTTGTCTTTGCATGGGCTCAAGAAACTTTACTACTACATAGTGTTCAGAGCAATGATGAATACGTAGGATATGTATATCTGCCAATATCATAGTTGAATCCATCACAAGTCATGTCACAAGTCTGGGACTTTTAAGGACTCGTGCGAACTTGTGAGGGCTTGTGAGAGTTTGTGGGGACTTGTTAGAACTTGCAAGGACTTGTGAGAACTTGTGGGGGATTGTAAGAACTTGTGGGGACTTGTGACAGATTATGAGGACTTTTGAAAACATGTGACGACTTGTGATGGACTTGTGAGAATTTGTGAGGGACTTGTAAGGACTTGTGAGGACTTGTGAGAACTTGTAAGGACTTGTTTGAACTTGTGAGAACTTGTAAGGACTTGTGAGAACTTGTGGCGACTTTTGATAGATTTTTGAGAACATGTGAAGACATGTGATGGATTTGTGAGAACATGTGAGGACTTGTGATGGACTTTTGAGGACTTGTGAGGATTTGTATGTCTCTGTGATAGACTTGTGAGGACTTGTGATAGACTTGTGAGGACTTGTGATGGACCACAAGATCCTCCTTTTCCTCACCTCTCCAGGGCTTCGTCGTACTCGTTGACGGCCTTCTTTACCGTCTCGTCGTCGTGGTTGTGCCGCGCCTCCTGCACCTCCTTGGTCAGCTTGCGCAGCTGGTCCGTGTGCCGCGTGGCCATCTCGTCCAGTTTGCGGTAGGCCTCCTCTTTGGCCGTCTGCATGGTGATAACCGCGTCCAGGAAGTCGTAGAGATACTGGCTCAGGAATTTGAAGGTCAGGTGGGAGTTCTCGGCCAGGACGTCTGCCGCAAGGTCATAGTACTGGATTTTTGGAGATAAGGAAATAGTTGTTACTCTATAAGTAATATAATGGTGGGGCCTCGGTGACTGTGGTTGTCTTAGAATTAAGAAGTTAAAGGGAATATACATCATTGGCTTTTGCTGTAATTTTCAGATAAGAACTATTTGAGGGGTTAGTATAATAGATCGAATATTGTTGCACTGACATGTTTGACGTTTTGTGTTCAAAAATGCTGGAAAAACCAAGAAAAACTAAAATATTCAAGTAGTCGGGTTCCCTGACTCCACTAAAGATGAAATGGATCAAAAATACCGGAAAATTGTACGGTAAGGGAACCAGTCTAGCTGGCCTGCACCCGTTCATGAACATGGAACCATTAGCTAGCAAAACAAAATTTAGACTTAAAAAAATGGTAAATTTGGAGCAGTAATTGAAAAATAGTTAGGTTTTTCCAACGGTAGTCGGCCGACCAGCGTTGGAAATGTATACAAGTATACCATTTTCTTGAAAATGGCTTCACACCAGGTGCCATAATTTTACAGGATGCTTTAGCATGTCATTTACCAACATCCTAGTAAGGTATTTCTTAACAACTTGGAAGTTTTATTTTTCGATGTTTGCAAATGTTGTATTTTTCCTTTAAGAAATGAAGAAAGAGCAAGACCTTTTTTCGTTAAGGATGAGAAGGTACATTCAATTTTCTGAACGTTTAGAACCCTTTTGTGCATCGTTTAAATGTTTAAACTTTTGAAGAGACAACAATTGTACATGATACATGTAGTGGCAGCCATATTTGCTGCCACCATTCATGCATGTGATTAATGAAACTGAAGTTTCATTTCAGGTTTCGACATTCAATCCAACATTGTTTAAGAATCCTGTATAAAATTCAGAGCAACCCAAGCTTCACCATGCATTGGCCTTGCGACAGGATTTGAAGTTTGTACAGCAGAAAATGGACGAATAATATTGTACTTGAGTGTGTCAAGTCAGGGGACGAAAATCATGTAGCTTCAGCACGAAGTGAAAGCTGGACATGAAGCTGCGATTTCGTAAATGGCGAACGCACTTGGCTATGGCTAGTAGTACTAACACCGGCTATGCGAAATGGCTTCAGCTGCTTCCATAGGTGCATGCATAATTGCTAGCCGTAGCCGACCGATCAGGACATGGCTGTGGTTGGACTCACCTCATATTTGCTGTAGAGTAGCAGCAGATTGCCGAATGTCTCTGGCGGGAACGGATTCTGCTGGAGCAGGAACTGGAGCTTCTCAAAGCCCTGGGTTGGGTTGGCTTCCATGTTCATCAAGGCCTGGTTGTGAAGGGTCACCGGGTCAAGTTCCTGTCGGGAAGAAATAACGAGACTGGAGTGAACACTAGAATAAACTTCACCAATAGAACGATCCGTAAACACTCTTTCAGCTGGTATATGGTTGATGTACGGGCGGCCAAACATACCAACATGCCAGCTTTCTGAAAAGCAGTGAATATATCTGTGTTGAGGGTGTTCTGTGTGTAGTTTCCTGGTCGACTAAAGTCCCTATGGTAAGCAGCAGGGGGGGGGGGGGGGTATTTCCTTGTCGACAAAAGTCGCCCATGGTTAGGAAAGGGTTAAATGTCCAAAGAGAAATCACACTCACCTCCTCTGCTCTTGGAGGCATGTCTGTCAGAGCTTCTTGGGAAGCCTCCACTGTGACAAATCAGAGAAGAAATCAAGAGAATTTTGCATAGATGCTCAATGATAATTCACTATCATCCTCATCATCAAATCGAATACAAAAGTGATGTGGCTAACTCTCAAACAGCAGTGCTACATTCAGAGAAAATTTGAAGGTTTGCATGGTGAAAGACAGCAATAAAGTTTACGGTTGCGCCATGAGACAAACCCTTGTTTGTGAGTTTGTGTGATTCTTTTCAGATCCTAACAAACTCAAAAATCAGAGATTTGTTACATAGTACAACCGTAAACTATATTTTGAAGTGTCTTCTATGTCCGATTTCTGGAGGGAGAAGAGCTTACGGTTTTTCAGTTGGAACTCAATGGCTGCCTTGAGATTGAAGGCTTCAATCAAAGCAGTCTCATGGAGCACCAGCGTGTTGCCGACGCTGCGTACGTCGATTCCCTCGGTGGTCATCCCAACGCTTAATTCTGAAGAAAAAAGAAAGAATAAATTATGCCTTAACAATTGATTTTTAATGGCAAATTTCCATGAAACTCTATTTTGTGAGTCTTTTATCTTGAAGGAGTCAGATTTTATCAAAGTATCTCAACATGACAGTAACTTACTCTCATCTTTTTAAAAGATTAAAGAATAATCCTGGAAGGGGCCATTCAAAATATCAATGATTTTATATTTCCATTTTTTTCCCCTTTAAAACTTTTGAATTTCGAAGTCACCATAGCCTTGGCAACGCTAAAAAACAAAGGACAACATGACAAGATATATTTTTTTGAAGCTAGCTACACTTATAGCGTAGCGGGTGCTAGCACTATTGATGCCTAGCTAGCACCCCATCGTGCATGCATGGCACATGAGATGGAGTAAAGAAAAGAAAAAAAAAAAAAAAAAAACAAGCCAGAACACATGCCAATGATTTTTTATCTCTTCTTGTTTAATTGAAAAATGAATTTCGATTGTCCATTATTTTCCTTGAACCACCTACCCACATTTGAAATTTAAAAACATTGATAATTTTGAATGGCCCCTAAATAAATGTTCAGAGATTACTAGATATTTAAGAACTTTTTTGTAATAAATCAAAATATTAACTTTTTGTGTTTTAGTGATTTTTTTTTCTTCATTTTCCTGCTTAAAGGGAAAATACAACATTTGCAAACATCAAAAAATAAAACTACCAAATCATTTTGAAATACCTTGCTGGACTGTTAGTGAATGACAGTGTAAAGCATCCTGTAAAATCATGGCACCTGGTATACTGTCATTTTCAAGAAAAGTGGTATTTTTGTATCAATTTCCAACGCTGATCGGCCGATCAGCGTTGGAAACAACTGGCTTTTTTTCAAATACTGGCCCCAATTGACCATCGCACTTGTTTGCAATCGATTACAAACCTATGAACGGGTACGAGCCAGCTAGACTGGTTCCCTGACCTTACAATTCCCCAATGTATGTAAACTGCTCTGTTTCTTCTTATATGGGGTCAGGGAACCAGACTACAGGAAAATGATAGTTTTTCTTGGTTTTTATAGCATTTTCGAACCCAAAACCTCAAAAAAGTCAGTGTAACTATATTTGCTATATATTTCCAACCCCCCAATTCCATCCATTTCTGAAAATTACAGCAAAAGCAAATGATGTATATTCCCTTTAAAAACCTAATTTAAAATAGCATGCCACGAACTGCTATAAACAGTCGAACACCTTTATAACAAGGTCCTTGGGACTTTACAAATTACCTTGTTATAACAGATACCTTGTACTAACAGTAATGGAAAACAAAGAAAAACAAAGAAAAAAGAAGACTTGGGACCTAAAATTGTGCTTGTTATAAGTAGGACCTTGTATTAACAGTGCTTTTCTTATCAGGGTTTGACTGTATATATACACCGCAATTCATCGGGCATAACTGGCCTAAAACTGCCATGCTATCGGCACCCACAAATAATCTGAACCAGCTAGTCCACCTCGACAAGCTCAAGTCCGAGGTCAACATGTCCACCATCTCACCTGGATGTTCCCTGATGCCTCTCTCGATGATGTCGGCGATGTGTTTCAGGGCGGGCGCATACTGCTTCATACTGTAGTAGCACAGGGCTATATTGTAGGACAGATCTATACAAAGGAGAACGAGTCAGCATGTTTTCTAGAGTTTTGTTGAAAAAAAAGTCAATTCATTAAATGATTAAATAATTTATTATCTAGAACGCTACTTTATGACAAATATAACCCTTCTTTTTATCAAATTTTCAGTAATTCTCTGCAAACAAATTTGATGTTTTCACTGTACAAAAATAAGAACAAAGACTGTCACATTTACAGACAAAATGTAAAAACTGAATTTAAGATTTTCAATTTTCTAAAAATGACACATAATAAACCATGTTTACCAACTAGTTGATGGTCTATAACTAGTGTAACCAACCCGGTCTTTATCTGTATAGTTTGACCAATCTGGTCTTGGTGATCTGTTTATCTTAACAATAAAATGTTACTAGTCTATGAATGGTATGTCTAGTATCAAAATAATAACTAGTTAATGGTGTGTTACTAGTAAAACCAACCTGATCTGTTATCTAAATAATAACCGACTATTACTAATATAACCGACCTGGTCTGTCCGGAACTTCTGACATGCCAGTTTATCTGTTTAACTATCTGGTCTGTTATCTAATCAATAACCAGTTTACCACTATTGTTATCTTGTTTTTAACAGGTAATGGTCTGTTATTAGTTGGTAAGCCAACCTATTTTTTTGTAACAACAACCTGTTTGTCACTAGTATAACCAACCTGGTCTGTTTTCTTAACAGTTAATGGTCTGTTACTAGTTGGTAAAGCCAACCCGGCATGGTTTCTGAAACTATAACCTGTTATAACTAGTATAACCAACCTGGTCTGTATCCCAAAACCTGCATAGCAGTCAGGAACTTCTGACAGGCCAGTTTGTAGCGACCTTCCTTGAACAGCAGGCAGCCAAGATTTACTTCGGTATCAGGGTCCTCGGAGGGACACTGCTCTACGAGACTCTGTTAGATTAAAAAAAACAACCAATAGTTTAAAAATAAAAATGCATATTAACAAAGCACACACACCCAGAAGTACTTGTGTTGAAGACGCAACATCATTTTCAACCTTGGTCAATTGGCCAATTCTAAAGTCTACCTCAGCTTCCTGGGGAGTATACAGCTCGAAGCTGCCATTTTGGCGCAAAGCAGCTACCTAATAACCATCTTTGCCCTCACAGGTACCCATTTACTCCTGGGTGGAGAGAAGCAATGAGTGACAAAATGCCTTGCCCAAGGACACACACTGCAACCCTAGGCTGGGCTTGAACCCGTAACCTACAGAATTACCCATGGACCACGATACCATGGCACTCCAAAGCGTTGCAACTGTTTTAAGGTGATGGCAAATACGTCAGTTATAATATTTATTACAAAATTCATCTTTTTGATCGTTTTCTTACCTTGGCAGCTGAGAGATCCTCTTCACCGTACTTGATCGCCGCTTGCAGTTTGGTGATCTGAAAGGAAAATATCAATGTAATCATTAACAGAGAATGTGCAGGAAGTTTTTCGCCACAGAACTCTCAATTTTGAGTAGAACTTTCAACACCCAAGTGGACAGATCCAAAGAGATATATGGGGTGACCGTGAGAGTACAAAGATGATGTGTCAACTTAAAAACTCCATGATTTACCATCAAAAGCTCAACACAAGTCCAGTCACAAGTAAAAGAACAATAATAAAGGAAAGCTTTTTGGTTCAGTTCATTTGAATAGCTTGTGACTTGACTTGTGATACACTTGTGATTGACTTGTGATGGTCTTGTGATGGACTTGTAATGGACTTGTGATGGACTTGAGATAGACTTGTGATGGACTTGTGATGGACTTGTGATGGACTTGTGATGGACTTGTGATGGACTTGTGATGGGCTTGTGATGGACTTGTGATGGACTTGTGAGGACTTGTGATGGACTTGTGATGGACTTTACAACACTGCGACTCACCTTTGGTTGGTACTCTTGATTTTCAATCTGGAATGTCGCCTTCATGGCCTCAGGGTACGCACAAGCGTGGTACAGTGCCTGGGCGTGGTACATCTTGTAACTGTCCACCGTGGGACAGATCTGCACCAGCTGCTCGTAACACTCGGCCGCATTGGCAAAGTCCTGGACATGAAAGTAGCAGTACCCCAGCAGGGACAAGGCAGCACGGGACTAGAGTCGAACCACAGGAAAAAAAATTAGAAAGTCCATTATTTTCAGGAGCTTCACACTGTGCAGGAACAGAGCTCAGAATAAATTACGTAATTCGTTGCTGGGAGAAACGTACCTTTGGATGATTTTGGAGCTCTTGCGATAGGATTTGAATTGCATCCACATACTTGCTCTCTTTAATCTGTGAAATTAAGAAAGGAAGTTTTGTTAAGTTTCATTTTCAACGAACACCAAAAATATTACAATAATAATGACAACCGCATTCAATCACTTAAATAAATCATAAGATTTCACTACAACGTTAGGCGAAAGAAGAAATTTAGCTGACATTTCTTTTAATAATAATATTATTAAGAAGCATTTCAGCAATAGTTTGTCAGATTGTCATGATTGTCAGATTTGGGCCGCTGAGTGACGAAAAATTACGAAACTCGGTGCATGCACAGAACAAAGACATTCACTAGGTAAAGAAATGTAACTAATAAATAAACAACTTCATATGAAGATACTTCAAGACTTAAAAGGCTGCCCTTCTAATTCTTGAAGTAATATGCAGACACCCAACAAATTTCATGACGAAATTTACGCGAAACGTACGACAAGTTTGTCTAGTTAGTTTGGATGCCCATGCATGAATTTTAACTTTAAGTTAAATGCTGAACATGCTGAAGCCGTGAAGGTGTTCTTTGTCACTACTTCTACCATAAAGCGTATTTTGATGTTCCAAAACTTATACAAAATTTGTTGACGCTGGGTTGACGACAGTTGACGCTTGTTGATGCCAGGTGACGCTTCTTGACATGCTTGATGCATTTTAGTAGGACCGTCCAATCGTGTTGCGCTTTGACATTATATCATTGTCAATGTCATCGTCTGTTTCGTCATTTTACCCCCAAAAATTTCCCTCAAAAATTCAAAATCCTGCCCTCTATCTGTGAGCAGTGAGTGACATACCGGTACCTGCATGTTCCTCATGTCGCCAAACTAGTTTGGTAAGTCAAATAATTTGTGGAATTTATAAGAACCGGCCCCGTCGCGTACGATCGCCAAACGTTGAGTGGGGCAACCCCCCCCCCCCCCCAACCCCGCCCCCAGGCTGCCCCGGCCCAATTTTGTGGAAAAAGAATGTCGAGAACTAACCATGTTATAAATCGTCGCGGTGTATTCGCCATCTTTTATATCGTACGCAGCCATCTGAATTTAGAACTCTTTAGGAAACACTAGTGATCCTGGAAAATATCTGAATTTACGCAGTGTTTCAATCCAGCGTCAATATCGTAGCAACTTCAGCTAGCGATCGGGAAAAGAATGTTCGTATAGTATGGTGACTATGTCAATTAATTAGTTGACTGTCGAAATACACAAGGAGGAGGTCAGGTATCATACTTCAAAATTGCAAATTAGTGCACCTTGTGCGCTTGCGTAATTATGGGAATGGTCAACATTTTTTTTAGGGAAGATTTGTAAACTGTTTGGTATTAAAGATACTACATGTGTCATATTTTGATTCTTAAAATAATATCTTACACGTATTTATATTCTTCACTTCTTTTGTTTTTGTATTTTAATATTAATGCTAAATCGTGTTCGAATATTTCAAAAGGATCAGAAACAAAATATATACAGCCCCTTTATTAATTATGGACTAGTCAATCACAAGAGGGCGCTTTTATTTAAGCTTTATCAATATAGAAATCGCCTCATCTGACGGCTGGGCGTTGTGGCGTGCGCCTGTAATCCAGCTACTTTGGAAGCCGGGGTTGGTGGATCGCTTGAGTTCGGGAGTCCTGTATGTCGTTGCCCTATGGCGATCGGGCGTCCGCGCTAAGCTCGGCATCGATATGGTTATCCCGGCGGAGGTTGAGATATCCAGGTCGTCTAAGGAGGGACGAACCGGCCCAGGGCGGAAACGCAGCAGGCAAAAGTCCCCATGTGGAGCAGTAGTGGGATTGCGCCCGTGAATAGGTAGCGGCATGCAGCCCGAACGATACAGTGGGACCCATCCCTTTTGTCAAAATTTATCAAATTTTCCTCTCTTTTTTTTCTTCTTCATCTATTTTTGGTTACAGTATCAAAATTATGTCCATCAGTTGTAATATGCGACGCATCGCTTCAAAAATGTGGCTTTTCTTTCCCAAGTTTTTTAATTTCTAAAATAATTTGTTTCTCAACTGTTTTGTTTTTACCATATATCAAAATTGTTTCCATCACTTGTATATAACAATGCATCTCTTCAACAAAATGTCTTTCTTTCCTAAATTTGGCACTTCCAAAAATTCTCACCTGTTCCCCCTATTCAAATGTTTTCGTCACTTGTATTTAAAATTTCATTTGTATACATGTATATACACGGTGAATTGCATTTAATAGAGTCTTTTCTTTCTCATGTTTTGTATATTTCTAAAATATTCTTTTCTCATCCATTTTGTATTAACATATATCAAAATTGTTTCCATCACTTGTATATAACAATGCATCGCTTCAACAAAATGTCTTTCTTTCCTAAATTTGGCACTTCCAAAAATTCTCACCTGTTCCCCCTATTCAAATGTTTTCATCACTTGTATTTAAATTTCATTTGTATACATGTATACACGGTGAATTGCAATTAATAGAGTCTTTTCGTTCCCATGTTTTATATATTTCTAAAATATTCTTTCTTATCTATTTTGTCTTTACCATATCAAAATTAGTTATACCACTTTCAGTAAATACGATGCATCGCTTCAACAATGTGTGTCCCACCCCCACCCCCACCCCGATTTGGCATTCTTCTTTTTTTCCTACATTTCATTCTTACCGTATCAAAATTATTCCATAATTAGTATACATATCTGCCTCTTCAAATGTGTCTATTCCTTTGCCATGTTTAGTATTTCGAAAATAATCAAAAATAATACACATGTATTTTTAATATTTGGTGGTCATGTTGTTCTTTTATTTTTGGATAGTTTATTCTAAAGAAAAAAATAATGCCTCTCTGATTTTGTTCTCAAAATTAAATTAATTTATATTAAATGACAAACTGTACAAATTTAGTTTAGGTCAAGGCAAACTATTCTTCTTTAGATATTTAAGTTCACACCTTTTCATGGTAACTCATTATAAAACGAGCATATTAATCATTAACATGTATTTATTGGTCTGCTTTATACTTTTATGCACAAACCATGGAGAAATAAAATGCATAAACAATGTGGCTCACACATTTCCGGTGATGAGAAATAGTGAGGCACGTAGTCTGGACCTGTTTTCTTAGAGACTAACCAAATCAGGGAATGTGATTTGATGTTTGCATAACGCAGAAGGGAACCAGACCAATACGTCATTATTTGTATGCAGTTCAAAGGTCGCCGGTTGTTCTCCGGAAAAGCGTGTAGTATTTTTACATGCTAAGCATCGCGCACGTTGCAAACTGACTCAAAAACATGTTTGTCTGGAAAATGTGACAGTTGAAAATGTCAGCAAATCCTTCCGCACCTCCACTGTCTCCTACATGTACTTCCCCTAAAGACCCTCTGTCAGGGCGCCTACAACAGCTGGGAGAAGAGCTGCAATGCCCGTTATGCATCGACTATTACGAAGATCCCGTAGCTCTGCTGTGTCAGCACAGCTTTTGTCGTGGGTGCATACGCCGCGCGGTACGGCCGCGGCGTGGTGAAGCGCAAGAGGTTGAGTGTCCGCTCTGCCGTGTTAAGACCCAGTTGGTCGGGTCAGCTGACACCTGCGTGCAGAAGCTGCCCCGCAATTTTCATCTTGCCGGGATCATCGAGAAATTCCGCGCCGCGGAGAGGGAAAAACAACGGGCAGAGGAGGAGCTCGAACAGCGACAGGTGCTGGAGCAAATCGAACAGAGTAGAAGAGAGAAAGAGGAGCAAGAAAATCGTCAACGTCAGCAGCAGCATCAGCAAGTGGAACAGCAGCATCAAGAGAATCGAAATCAGAAACAACAGGAACCGACTTCAGGCGATTTTGATGGTCAAGCGACATCAACCAATGAAAGTCTTTCCTCCATAAGCCCAGCAGGAGTTCAAAAATGTAAGAAGTGTCCCTTCCCAGGTGTCATCCATTGTGCTGAGTGTGGTGAAGATTTTTGCCTGGAGTGCCAGCAAACCCACTCACATGGAGAATCCACCATCCGAAAAGAATTCCACTCTGAGGAGCTCCTAAAGACTGCATCAGACCCACCATCCTGCGGCCAGGAAGATCAGCCCCAGGTTGATGGAGAACAGCAGCAACGGCTGCAGCAGCTTCAACAGAAGCAGCAGCATCTCCAACTGGAGCTAGCCCAGCAGCAAGCACTGTCGGGCTACACCCCGGCACCAGAATGGCAGCGGCAGCAATCTGACCGCTGGGAGGAGCTGCACGAGAAACAGGCCGCCAGACGACAGGTCTCCGAGGACTATCCACCTCAACACCGTGATGACATGCCCCAGCCCCAGCATGCCCAGGAGCCTCTCAGTTGGCCCTTAAGTCACCAAACTCAGCAAGTCTACCAACACCAAGACCTGTCGTATAAGCCTCATACTCTGGGGTACCCCTATCCGGAGCAACAGGAGCACTTTTCACCACCTCCTTCCATGACCCCCACTTCCTCCCAGCTTACCTGCTCTCATTGCCCCTTTCCAGCCGCCACCCACTGCGAGCAGTGCAGCTCTTACTTCTGTTGGGAGTGCAAGGGCGATCTCCACGACTTGAAAAGTGCCCATGCGAACCACAACATAGTTGAGCTCATGCATATGGCAAGCTTGTCCAGTCCGTGTACCTTTGGCCCTGAGCAGGACGTGAACAACTACAGTTTTCCTCCAACTATTCCGCTGGTAAGTCGTAACCCGGTTCTTTTATGTTTAAGCCCCCCCCCCCCAAAAAAATCTGCTTTTGATTACATGGCATTCAAAAATAGGGTAGGTAAGGTAGGGACTTTTTTTGCCAATTTTTTTGAGTACGATCATTTTTACAGTAGTCAAGGGTAAAAGGTGGAATGGTCCAGTGGGTGTTTTTCTCATATTCCCCATTAGGGTAGGGGCTGTCAGAATAGGGTAGGTATAGGGAAACCGGAAGCAGAACTATTATTTTTTGGCCTTACTCCGATATAAATGAAAACAAGATTAGAGAAGCTCACAAAGTGAAAGATTGGACCGTGTATGCACTGTTTTGGGCAGTTTGCAAGTTGTAAAACAGTTTCTCCTCACTTTATGTATGTGCAAAGTTATCTTGTTTTACATTTACGTGTTGGCCCTATGATTTAAAAACTGAAGCTACGTGAACATGAAATGAAGAAAATGAAGCTACATGTACATGAATCTGTGTCTAAGAGAATTTTATTATTCTTTTCAGCAGATTCAGATGACACCTGCAACGGCAATTGAGGTACCGACAACATCAATGACGGGAGATACTGTGATTTATGTAAGTTGATATTAAATAATGGCAATAACATTTGATCTCGGTATCCCAATTTAAATGTAACATAATCCCCAGCAAATACACGACATTGCATCACAAGAATCTTAAAGTCTCCAAAAAGAGCTTTAAAACGTACTTCGCACCGGTATTTTGTCAACAGAAGATTCCATACACTTGTGACATCAGAGGCATGGGACCAGGGAAGAAGATCACTGTGGTTGGCCAACCTTATGATCGTTGTTCGCGGTGAGCTATTTTCTTCTGAGCGTTCATGGCAAATAAGATAATAAATATCTCTGTTGGACTGTATATATGCTTGTTAATTTTCCACCTTTTCCAAAAAAGTTGTGTGTGAACATCTCATTCAGCTCGCCTAAGTAATAGCCCGACTCCTGCTAAAATAATGTTTGATATGAAGAGCCTTTTTCATGAACCCCGTCATTTTAGTTTCATTGTTGCACAATTTTTTTCTTAAATCCCCAACGAGTTTCATGATTTCATCATAACCTTGTTTCCTTTATGACTTCTTCACATTCACTCCACCAGATTCCACATCAACTTGATGTGCAGCAAAAATCTAAAATCAGGCGACATAGCCCTCCACTTCAACCCACGTCTCACGTGGCCCAAAATGGTGGTTCGTAACACCAGAATTAGCGGCAAGTATGGGTCGGAGGAGAGGGGAGGACCTAGTCCGTATCCTTTCAAGGCTGGGCGACCCTTCGGGATTGAGTTCACGTGTCTCTTTGACAAATTCAAAGTAAGTTGTTGGTTTTGGCTGATATAGATATGCAAACAACATCCTTATCCCTGTATATACAGTTTTGAGTATCAAAATGCACAAACTAAGAAAATGCTTTCAAAAGTCATTGACCAACTCCAAGTAAATGATTTCGAAACCATTGATTATCACTTTAATGATGCTGGTAAAATATTTTGCGTGTTGAAATACCTAAGTCAAGCAATAATTATACGAAACCTTTAGGGACGTGTATATCATTTTTTTCCCCTAGTATTTTTAGCCTTCCTCATGCACGCTAGCGTTTGTCCTGGATCCGCCAACTAAATAAGTGTACTTTTCAATCAAATTAACCCTAAAAAAATGTCAAATAGTTTTCATACATTTAAGATGATTAGAAAGTTGCACAAAATTCGTTGCTATGAAAAATCCATCTCATGGACATAACAACGAAGCATTTTACCATTCATGCTTGGTTATCGTGGATGACAGTAGTTCGTTATACATCAAAGATTTACTAAATTCTTTCCAAGCTTAGCCCAAATAAGTAAATCTATGAAGAATCACTTTTTATCCCCCCTTTTATCCCAGGTGGTTGTGGATGGTAAGCCTTTCATCACGTACACACACCGCATCAAAGATTTACAGTCGATCAAGTATTTGAATGTTAACGGCGACGTTCAAATCACGTCCATGAGTGGTTGCATGTAGACAAAAAGGTATGTACATGTTTAACATATATGTGATTTTCCTACCTCCATGATTAAACTGTCAAGATTTACTGAAAGTCTGTTTGTTGAAGGCATTGCTTATGTTTGTGCTTTGATTTTGTTCTTCCCTTTGCGTGGTTTATAAACTTTATGTACTCCATCAATTGGATTACTTGTGTGAATTTTCGTGTCTGTTTTGACCACTTATGTTGTTTACTAGTCTTATTCTGAGGTGTTATTTCTCAGTTTTTATTCAGGAGCTGATGCTTGAACACGATGCAGCAGGTGTATTGTGTAGACAGAAGACATCAATAAGTCGTCCTCAATTCCTCACTGGGTAAAATTGTATAGGGAATGTTATAGTTTTCTGGATGGAGTGGCGATGTATGGGTCAACTTGGGGGGGGGGGGGCACCAGCTGCTTGGCAAATTGGATAAGTGGGGTTGCATGTGACTCAAGGGTGCGTTGTTTAAACATGTATGTTTGCCTACACTTCGGGATGTTACTATGTAAATAAAATATACCCGTTGATTTTACTTGTATGCCTATTCCTTCCAGTAATTGAACACCTTGCCCTTATATTTGTGTGTATGTACAGTTTCTAAATACGTTTTTCACTGGAAAAGTTGCTGTGGCATTTATTGACTCCTGCCATTTTATTTCATTCTCAACTTCTGCCTAAAGTTGGGCGAACTATCATTGTATCTTTAAAACATTCGTCATTTATTCCCATTAAAATTTTAATCTCTGTTTTAATTGGAATATTTGCTTGTATATATGCCGCTAGAGCTAATTCAGTGAAGCTGTTTATAAGAAAATGTTGTTTACAAATGTTATTTTTGCTCGGCAAAATCGTGTTGGGAATCGTTCATGCACAATATAAATGTTCATGTATACATTATGTACATGTACATCACATAATTATGATATTCAGGATCTAAATTTCATGTGCAAAACGTTTTGTACTGGGCCGTTTGTTGTTAGTCTACGAAATATCCCCTTGCATCTATGCAAGGTCTATATGATATGCAAGCAGGTTCAGTGATTATGCAAAACAAGACTGCGTCTTGACCTCGTGATTCTGACCATTCAGCGGCGCCAAAATCGAGTCTTGGCCAACCCGTAGTATTACAAAAACGTGGCATACAAATGAGCCAATCATCAGCTTAGTCCTCCTTTCTGATCGACATGACGTCACCGTTTCTTCAGTCGATTCCGATTGGCTGCATAACAGTTGCATGTCGGGATATATCAGACGTTCGACTGCGGCTCTGCACACGTGAATGGCTGGCCGTTAGACTAATTTGTTGTGTGTATGGCGTCGACAAAAAATCGGCCACTGCATAAACTGTTCTGAAATCAGATATGAATAAAGCTTAGCGTATATGTTTTGCAATTTTGTGTGTACAGCTCACAATAAAATGTTGTTATATTAAAATAATTTTATTTTACTCTGTACTCGGTTCATAATTGAGCAGATTTGATTTGCGCTTGATTAAAGATGAAAAAAAAAACATGCATTAAAAGTGAAATGTAGTTGTTAATTACATGTAGTTCGTGTTTTGGTTTCCATGTATTTTTTTTATAAAAAAAGAGTTAGGTACTCGCTTTAAACTTTAATACCCACCGCGAAGACACAGTTGATATAGTTTTCGAATTCCATCCGGTTTTCAGTACTCGGCGTTATTATTACAATGAACTTAATCTAACGCTTGATACATGCGATTGTTATTTTAAAATGAAAACCTAGGTGAAGAGGCAGTCATTTTTGCACAATTAATCATCGTATCAGCTGAGCTATTGCTACATGTATTTTTTATTTTTTGAAAGCCGATGTCGGGCTTGATTATATCTGTATGCTCTTTGTAATACAAAAACATGGCATCCGAATAGACCAATCAACAGCGTAGCCCATATTTCTGAATGAAAAGAGGCCATGTCGACTCTGATTGGCTTGCGCGCGGGTCACATGTGAATGCTTAGATCAGACGGATCGGAGATACGGATGAGAGGGCTCCATTGGACAACGTGAAAAGCGACTCTGTGAAAAAGCGCTTTGTATGCCACTTCAGTTTCAATACATTTTTAACTTTCCTCCTTCGGTCATTGTGAATAATCGAAAATGATTTGTAAACCAGGCTTATGTACGTCAAAATCTAATTTGCAAAACGATTCTGCCGACAAATTATTGTTATGTGTTTATTTGCCGTGACTGTCACCGAGAAAAGTGCGTGCAAACTGAATTTTGCGCGCGATTGATAAAAGCCATTCATGTAAATAAATACTTGTTTTCTTTCAAACAACGATTCGTTGCTGCCTTGGGTTTGACAAAGGAAGTGGGGTTTTTCCCAATGTCGTACCTAAAATATAGAAATACCTGACTTCTTTATTCCTGTAACAGTCAGCGTGTCGTCAAGCTATTATGCACACAAGTTTTATGCATAGCAGCTAGCAGCGCATTGTCTGAATTTCGTCATTGTATGCCAATCATGCATCACAACTAAAGTGACGTTGGCGAAACTGTTGGCTTTGTAAATTCAATGCGGAAGTTTGATCGGAAACAGTTTCTGAATCAACCTGATACAACGGAATCGGTGTTATATTTGGTGTTGAATCGAAGCGCAGCCACTTGTTCAAAAGCTCTTCACTTAACAAGTTTGAAATCTGTCTGTGATGGCTCTTGTGGATAGTTTCGTGTTGACCGTGTGTGCTGCAGCACTGGCATGCTGTATTCTGCACCCTACGCTTGTATTCGGAAGCAATCACATCCAAGCGAGGTGAGCTGTTCATGAAGTTCCGTCTGTCTATTCTACCTCAGTGATTAATTTTCCATTACCAAGTCATAAATCCAGATTTTACCGGAAACTACGTACAGTAGTGTGAAGATATATTTTCGAGCCCCTCTGGCAAATTCCCATGACAATATTAAGTTCTTTGTTTTTGTTAAAAGGTGTTATGAAACAAATATGGGATTTGTTTTTGTATTGGTTTATTCACAATAGGTCATCAAGTACTGCGTCATGTACCTGTGAAACGGCAACTACAATGCTGACGTGCACTGCTCAACCAACAGGTGATCACTTAAAACATTGCTCTTCAAAAAGACATTTTTATGAACGATGCTCGGTGCCTGGTACCCTGGTCGCAATTATGATCCAAGCTAATTACTTGTAATGTTCTTTTCCCCTTCAAAACCCCCCAAAATTAGTATTTAATGAAATTATAAAACAAAATAAGTGTTTTGTTTATTTGTTTATGTCATAGATTGAAAACCACATACGGCAGATAGGTGACGAGATCGATTGTGCCTTTTATGATACAAGCATGGAATTTGGCTTTTGGGCCATCACATATTTGTTCTTTGAACAAATATAGGTAGAATAGCAAGCAATGGCAGCCATTTTGAAAATTTTAAAAATCGGTTGTTATTCTACCTATATTTTTATTCTAAGGAACAATCTGCGATGACCCAATATAGCTAAATATCTTTCTCGCGACATACTCTGACTGCACGTGGCAAACTCCATGCTTGTTTCATCAAAGGCACAGTTCTGCCAAATATTTCCACTTTATCTTCCCAACACTAGTATGTTTGTCTTTCGATTGTAGCAAATTTCCAAAAAAACAGCAAAGTTCTTTACTCAGATTTATTTACCCTGAAGTGTATACCGGTAAATGTATTTACCAACAGGTTGTGATGCGGATGAAATGCCATACGGAGATTCGTGCTACAGATTCCTCCGCGACAATCGCAAGAACCGCAAAGCGGCTCACAGAGATTGCATTGCGCGTAATGGCCATCTCGTCTACATCGAATCGGAAGACGAGCAGAATTTCCTTGCATTCTATGAGAGTTTTTTCTACCAAGACGGAAGTGGAAACGACGAACGTTACTGGATTGGACTGATTGCTACCAGCAATTATATCTGGCTGGATGGAAGTCCGTTACATCGCGATCTCTCAACCTTCGTTGATAACACTCAGTTGGGGTGTATTTTTGTCCAAGAAGGCGATTCACATCAGATAGTTTCAGAAGTTGGGAACTGTGGAACGGCGAGGCGGTTTATTTGTGAATTTCCACCGCTGACAGCTGATGGTAAGATTTGGAAATGGTAATATTTTATTCTGCTTTTGTAGCGTTTTTCACGATTTATTTGGGGGTCAAGTTATCATTTCCGAATTCCTGAAAATCAAACGAGCAACAAACATTTATTTGGTGTTCCATCATCATTCATCATACCATACTTGATTGTTTTATTGATATGGAAGTCGGAACTTTTTTCGCGATAATTACTGACACAGTGCAGTCGAAATAGCGTCTCTCGTTAATATAATTGACCTATCGCGGTAGAATCGATTGCGTCAATGCAAGTTGTGAAATATTGTCCACTTGCATCATATAAAAATGGATGCGGAATGCGCAAAATCTGAGCCAAACAAAAGTTAACGACAAAATTCCATAGGGTTGTCTAAGGGCGTGGCTAACTCGCAAACAGTGATAAGTCAATTACCTGACCCGTATTAAATTTGTCAACCTGCATGATCAGTACATATTATTTATTTTTTTCAGAGCCATATATTTTTGATCACCATGCATCATCCATTGACGTAATCTTCAGGTGTGCACAGGTGTTTGTAATTTTACCCCGTAAAATTTGTTTGGTCATTTATTTTCATACATATAGTTTGTCAAGATGAAGAAAGAGCAAGCGGCGAGTCTTGCTATATATTCTTTGATTCACCGAAGACTCAAAGCGAAGCACAGGCAACTTGCCAGACTCTAGCTGGAGGGCATCTTCTGTACATTGAGACCGAAGATGAAGTGACATTCATCGAGAGCCTTCTTGGGGACACCGGCCAGTCCGAATACTGGATCGGTTTGATGACGCAGTACGTGTGGTTGGATGGTAGTAATGCTACTTACCAAGCTTACGACAGCGAGAGCCATAATAGCAGAGGTCAATGCTTTAGGATGTATCCTGGTAGCGATTTTAAGTGGAATGACCGGTCTTGTGGAACGAAATATGCCTACGTATGTGAGCGGGAGCTGACTGCTCCTGAGATGCAAGACGTTTCGGGTATGCACTGATAACATTTCAATCGTTTCCCTTCGGACTTATTTTTGGTTCTATTATTAATGGACTGACATAATACGTATATAAAAAATGATTTAAAATGTAATCATTAATTCTCGTTGACCCCGGGTAAAACCAGTACCTGGCAGACTCTGTTCCATCGATACAGAGGAGGTTTTTAACCTCCTCTAAACAACACGAATCACACATTGTGTAAGACTTTCTAAATTGATCGGTACAGTTATACAACGGCAATTAAAAGAGATATATGATGACAGGACGTTATCACAATATGATAAAATAATGATATCGTGTATTTCATTTGTCATAGTCGTATCCAGTTTTTTAAAAAATGGTTTAAAAATACACCCAAAATATGAGAGACATCTTCAACATTTCAGTATTTATTTTTCAACTAAGACAATTTGAAACATTCACTACAGTATTTTGGCCGATGTTTTTCAATTTTTATTTTTATTTTTCAATGGATGTAATGCAGTTAGCAAATAATTTGGTCCTCACGATTAAATTCAGGCTTCTCTTTTCGTCTGACAATGCAGGAGAAACTTGTGGACCACCTGCCAGCAGTCTCAATCACCTGCTTGAGTCTGGTGCCCTTTGCGTCAGAGGCGTAGGCCTATCTATTTACTCTGGGGAATATTTCCTCTGTCCTTGTGGCGAGAAGAATTGCATCAAGGGATGTGGCTGTGCCATGGTTAGGTACGAAATAGATCCGATTCTAATAGGCACTTCATCTCGTTCAAATCATTAGTGTAACACAATAGCGTGTTTTCTTGTTCTGACATCAATGGTATAGTGCAACATAAGGCATGATTTAACATAGTGATAGCCAAACAAAGTTACTCAGTTTTCTAATTTTCACTTTTAATAGATAGATTTCTATTGAAACAATTTTCGTCCATCCTTTCTCAGATTAAAAAAATATAAAACCTTGACTACTAGGAATACTTGTCTCATGCGAAGCGACGTCGAAGAGAAATCAAATGAAATTCGTTACAGATGAAGAATTAAGTTTATCCCAAAACCTTCAATATAAAGTTACTATTGTTATTGACCTTTTTAAAAAAATGTGTACCTAACTCTAGATATTTGTTAGTAAGGATTAAGGTAACGTGATGATTACCTTTTTCCCATCTGATTTCCTCCACAGTTCTGGTCAGTCAATCATGTGTAACTGTGGGCTATGCGATCTGACATTCTCGGGGAAAACAGGTAAAATGCCAACTTCCAGTTTTGATCTCAAGAACAAGAATGTAAAAATTGAAGGATTCGTTTTATGAAAAATTTACTATACAGGGTGAGTAAAAAAAAACGAAACCCAAATGTCAGGACTATTGTTTTAGTGAAGTTCTGCATGTAGCACTTTCAAAATCTAGGATATGAAAGCCCAATTCAGAAGCTTTCTTTTAGTTTAAGAATCATTCAAATCACTTATGTACTTTTCAAGTTACGGAGTTTCAACACAACCGCCGTTTTAAAGTTCTGTCCACGGATCACAAAAAAAGTGTGCGTTCTTTCAGCAAAACGAAAACAATTCACACACATCCTTATGTGATTTGTTTTCGTTTTGCTGAAAGAACACTGAACTTTTTGTGATCCTTGGACAGAACCTTAAAACGGCGGTTGTGTTTTAAACTCCGTAACTTGAAAAGTACATGAGTGATTTGAATGATTCTTGTACTAAAAGAAAGCATATGAATTGGGCTTATGTATCCTAGATTTTGAAAGTGCTACATGCAGAACTTCACTAAAACAATGGTCCCGACATTTGGGTTTGGTTTTTTTACCCACACAGAAAATAAATGCTGAGTCACAAGACTCATTTAGGTGAGTAATGATTTTGTCCGTGTAGTGAGACACTTTTGGACTTAAGTGAGTCATTTGACTCACATGAAATGAGTCAAGTTACTCGGGCTGGAATAATATTTGGGTCTTTTGACTCATTTTGTGGCATTTAAATGAGTCCCCATTTTGTCCGTGTAGTGAAACACTGCCATGTAATAAACGAGTCCAATTACTCAGAATGGGATACATGTGAGTCATGTGACTTGAATTTTTTTTTTAGCTGAGTCCTGTGCTGAAACACTGCGATGTGCATAAACCATCGCAAATTCGAAGACAGTTTACGCACAAGAGCATCAGTAACACAAGTAAAAAAAGATTTAGAGGGCATATATACCTTGTTGATCACAAAATGCCTTTGCTCACTGCGCCCGGGCCTAACACAATGTAGGCCTAGTATACTAACGTTAAACCTAGGCATACGACGGCAAAGCCACTTTCGTAATTTAGGCTTGGCTACACACAGCAAACAGTGCTTGATAACAAGGAATTACTAACTACCGTGAATCGGGTAGATTGCATTCAGTTATTAACAACACGATAGCAGCGTTTTGAACATGAAAATACCTTAAAACAGAAAGAAAAAGAAAGAGCTCTGGCTCCCACTACTACGCGACAAAAACAATGGCGGATTGATGCAAACAACGGGTTTCCTGTGCTTGCCCGCACAGGCCCGGGGATGACTCTGTGCCAGCTTGGTACTGAGTCATATGTCAAACCAGACTCATTTTCAAGGGACAAGTGAGTCAACAATAAACATTCTAAGTGAGTCAATGCCCTTTTGACTCGCTACGTAAATTTCAGTGAGTCTGATGCGATGCATATGGTGTTAAATACGAGTCAAATTTACTATGACTCACTAAAATCGTCCAAAAGTGAGTCAAGTGACACAACAATTTGTTTGTGTGCACCCTGCATACTCCAGAAATTTTGACAAAGTTTCAAACTTGTGTATAAACGTTTCCTTTTAAGGAAGGGAGCCATACACAGAGTCTGCATATGATGAATGGCAGGTGCTGAACTCAACCTTTCTGTGTGAGTGCAACGACGCCACAGCTACCAGTGCGGAGTACTACCGATTCAAGGATGGCGCGTTTAGTAGTCTCAACTCAACATGTGAAGAAAATGGCGGCTCCCCAGACCCCTCGGCTTCCAACTCGGGTGTCATTGCCGGCAGTGTTGTTGCTGTCGTTCTTGTCTTGCTGATCATAGTGGCTGTCGTGATCGTCTGGTATCGTAAAGGTGGCAAGAAACTTGTTTCTGGGCGCAAAAAGAGGTAAAAAATGTTTGATTGAAAGTCCAGTTTTGACTGCTCGTGCGAATTGTGTCTAAAACCGTGTTTTTTTAAAATTCCTTGTGTATTAAGATGTTTTCATTCATTCAGAAAAAAAACAACGATTGTGATCGCAATTTATCTCTCTTTTTCTTCGAGCAATCTGCACGGGCAAAAGTAACCCCCACTAAACCCGCAAAGAAAAAAAAGTGGTAATCGCTTATGTCAACCGTGTTAATTGTTTCCTTTAATTTGCAGGGTTTCGAAGTCACGAACCGCGGCATCAGCAGACGACACAGGTAATTTATGAACGAACTTCCAAGATAAACACCAAATCATTTTCACCTTCAATTTATACATGGGTGCACGGTAAGACCGGCTTAACAGTTTTAACTCGGTTAGTCCCGTTAAGAAGAAACCTTATTTTTTTCAAACAATATCGTCATTTTTCCCCATCGTAAAGTTTTCTCTGGGGGCACTACTTTTAAAAGGTATGGCAAATTAATTCATTTGGACCAAAAGCGAGCGCTATTATGAATGGCATGACACCAATTTATTTCTTTCAGATTACATATTACCTAATCCGTATTTAGATAAAGTCCTGCCATACATTTTTGGATAAATTTGTCTCAGCATTTCTGCATCCCAAAGATTGCGTCACTAAATCAACTTTAGTTGGAGTAAATATGCATCTTTTGTTGCCTTTTCCTCTGTTGTTATGACCCGCCCCCAGAAGGGAGACAGAGATATGCCGGTGACTTCTTACCGTCGGGTGCACATCGAAACCCGGCCTTTGCTGCGTCCCTGGACCCGAGCCCCGAGCCAGACGAGGACTACGGCTACATCAATCCAGACACCGTTCAGCCGAGTCGGCAGCCAGACAAGCAGCCAGCGAGTGGTGAGACGGGGAGCCACTCCACTCCCAAACAGCGCCCTCCGATCGTCGCCCCGTACCAGCCTAAGCCTACAAATGCTGGTCAGACAGGGTCAGACCACGGTCCAAATATGCCGACCTCAGATCAGGGTTATACCAGTCTGACCCCACCACTTGGGTCCCCGCTCAACCCCCAATCTTCACCACTTGAGGGCGGTTTTAGTGGGTCAGATAATGATGGCGGCTATCAAGCCCTGACCACGGGCCCTCATGTAGATCTGCCTTCATCCCCGGATCACGATGCATACAACCATTTGGAGTTTACAAAATGATTTCTTACATTGCCTGTTATTGTCGATCACGTTAGTTTTTAAAATGTTTTAGGCCTATACTATAGCTCTTACAATTATAAAATCAGCAAAAGCTTTTTGGGGGGCCAATTAAAATTAGACACTTGGTTATACGTCGAATAATATTGCAGTCTTGATACACATAGGCCTACGTAGCTTTTTCTTTGACTTTCACCACTGGTTGAATTATCATTCGGGCCACCGGGGCTATATAGTTTTTTCCAAATTTGCATCCTGCCCCCTACTTTCACCATTAAACATTAGCACCTGAATTTCCACCTGGTGAAAGCACAGTATGTATGTTCAACCCTGGGTTTGAAACTTGCTTCATGTATCCTGATTCGGTACCGCAATTACGTACCACAAGTAGCAAGTAATGTTATGGATTTATATCGTGGACTTGGTGTTGTTATTTTTAACGTGTACGTATATTACGTGTTTTCACGTTCATTGTAATTATTACTGCATTACAATTATTATTGAAACAATTATTATTGTAATTACAATTATATTGTAATTATTACTTGCGTTACAATTACATTGTAATTATATTAAAATAATCCTTTCCTTTCCAATTTGTTCATATGAAATGTGACACTGCATATTGGCTGGAAGATTGTAACATTTTAACTTGCGTCACGACGAAGTGATTCTGCTCCCCCCCCCCCCCAGACATCGCATAAAAAAACAGATGTTGATGTAAAGCACAGACAGGCACCAGACTACTCTTAATTTGCATACGTATCCAAAAATGTTGGATAGGCAAACGATCCAGGGGAAGGTAATGGTAATGGTGGGAGCGTACTGCTCGACACCATGGGAGCAAGGCTGAAGTATGTGTACTGTAAAACATAAGTAATAGCTTTGCAGACTCTTTATTAATTAGTACTTAATTAATGCAAAATGGTTAGATGCAACATTCAGAGCAAGTAGTTACATTTGCAATAATGGTTAAAAGAACTTTTTAAAACTTTAATTTTCAGTTGAATAGATGTTAATTTTTTTTTTTGGGGGGGGGGGGAACTTGGACCAGCTTCCTGGACCTGCCCTGTTACCTTTAGATAATACCGTCAAACCTCGCTGTCATTTGTAAAGATAGGATGCAAATTAATAATCAAATTACAGCAACTAGTGGGTACGGCTCGAATGCGATGGGGAAAAGGTTGGCAGATCGTGCCAAGTATCAAGAGGTCAAAGATTCAATGTTGTGATGACATCATGCTGTACTTTGCCCAATATCATGTGATACGTCTGACTGGTATTGCGCATCCATTTTATCAAAATGGCTTCAGCACTACTGAGTGGTGCAACCGAGAATCTTTCAAAGTTTCTCCAGAATTTAAAAGAAGATCTGCAATGCCCACTGTGCCTTGATGTCTTCGAGGACCCCGTGCTTCTAACGTGCCAGCACAGCTTCTGCCGGGAGTGCATAGGGGGAGTTACCCGCCCTCGCGACAACGGATTAGAGGGAGTAGTTGAATGTCCACTTTGTCGTAAGAAAACACAGCTTGACGCTACCGGTACGGAGTGCCTACCGAGAAATTTCCACCTAGCTGGAATCATTGAGAAGTTTCATGCCGCGGAGAAGGAGAGAGAAAAGTCAGAACAGCTGGAGCAACAACACCACACCAAACAGCAGCAACAGGAGGACGAAATGCAAAAACTCCTTCATCAGATAGATCAACGAAATCAGCAGCTAAAACAACAGCAACAACAACAGTTGTACAAGCAACCACATCAACAGGATAAACGAATGGCAAAAATCATTCCGATGCAACAGCAACAGCATCGGCCAACACCGTTTCAACAATTTCTTCAAGAAGCATGTCAGCGGAAATTGGATAAACAGCAGCAGCAGCAGCAGCAACAACAGCAACAACAGCAACAACAGCAGCAACAGCAACAGCAGCAACAGCAGCAACAGCAGCAACAACATCAACAACAACAGCAACAGCATCGGCAAACACGGTTTCAACACTTTCTTCAAGAAGCACGTCAGCGGGAAGTGGATAAACATCAGCAGAAACAGCAACAGCAACAGCAGCAACAGCAACAACAGCGGCAACAGCAGCAACAACAACAGCAACAACATCGACAGCAGCAACAGCATCGGCTAACACGGTTTCAACAATTTTTTCGAGAAGCACGTCAGCGGGAAGTGGATAAACAACAGCAACAGCAGCAACAGCAGTAGCAGCAGCAACAACAGCAATAACAGCAGCAACAGCAGCAACAGCAACAGCGGCAACAGCAGCGGCAACAGCGGCAACAGCGGCAACAGCGGCAACAGCAGCGGCAACAGCGGCAACAGCAGCAACAACATCAACAACAACAGCAACAACAATAGCAACAGCATCGACAGCAGCAACAGCATCGGGTAGCACAGATAAAACAATTTCTTCAAGAAGCACGTCAGCGGGAAGTGGATAAAGAATTAACGTCATGAACAGCGTCAATAGCTGATGCGCCAACATCAGCAAGAAATGCCACACTCTTCGCAGTATGAGAAACAGCAAATGCAACGGCTGTTTAAACGTTTCGATCAGATGATGCAGCAGAAACAGCAGCAACAATAAAGTTGGGTATAGGCCTGCTAAACGACAAATATTAAGTATTGCACCAACTTGACCTAGTCCTAGTCCTATTTGAACCTGATTCTCGAAGAAGCCATTTTGTGGTGTTCCCTGAATGTACATATGTGAACTTTTAATGATTTTAGGAGGAAGTTTAATATCAGAACTAATTTTCTGGATTATGGAGGTGTAGTTAGAGCTATGAGCTAGCCCTTCCGGGACTGTTAGATTTAGAAAAATGCACAATTTAACTCCCTTTTATGTCAAGATTCTTTTGATGGGCAAAACAGATTCTCGTAGAATTCTCAAAGTGCTGGCCTCGACCAGAAAAAAAGTAGTTTATACATTCATTTCCAGTTGGAACAATAAGTTGCAAACAGACTTTAGCTTTTCTAAATGGTCGTTGATTTTCAATATTCCTTTCTATTTCACTGTAGATACTAGGTTGAATACAGACTAAACAACATAATTCTCGGTACGAAATATTTTGTGTTTAAAGTCAATAAGTCCACGACGAACCAATGTACTTTTTGTAAAAATGAAGAAGAAACGCTTACCCATCTCTTCTGCGCATTTGTTTACACAGTCTTCTGTTGGGGTTCAGTTGTTTCGTGGATTAAGGACAAAACCAAATTTATAATTACTCTAGACCAGTGGCGTAGCCACCGGGGGGGGGGGGGCGTGGGGGGGGGACCGCCTTCCCATGAAACCTTGTCGCCCCCCAGTCGCCCCCCCCCCCTTTGAGATTTTGAGTTTCTAAAAAAATTATCATTGATCTACATGACGCCATGGGCCCTATTATGTACTACAATGTATCTTTTGCTTAGAAAATATTGGTTAAAGTGGTCAGAAATTGCCTCAGATAGCACCACAGAGCATTTAGAATCCAATTTTTTTCGGGGCCCTTAAGCGGGCCCCGAACCCCACGCCTATAGCTCAGAATTCTGGTAGCTGATTCAATGACTCCAACCTCGAAAACAATGTTCACAAAATTTTCTTATGCCTTTAGCTGAGAAAACCTCGAAAATTATGTTTAAATTATTATCTTCTGTGCTCAGATAATTATTTGTTAAAGTGGTAAGAAATTGCCTCAGATCACACCACAGAGCATCGAAAATCCAATTTTTTTCGGGGCCCTTAAGCGGGCCCCGAACCCCACGCCTATAGCTCAGAATTCTGGTAGCTGATTCAATGTCTCCAACCTCGAAAACAATGTTCACAAAATTTTCTTATGCCTTTAGCTGAGAAAACCTCGAAAATTATGTTTAAATTATTATCTTCTGTGCTCAGATAATTATTGGTTAAAGTGGTAAGAAATTGCCTCAGATCACACCACAGAGCATCGAAAATCCAATTTTTTTCGGGGCCCTTAAGCGGGCCCCGAACCCCTCGCCAATAAGCTCAGAATACCGATAGCTGATTCAATGTCTCCAACCTCGAAAACGATGTTCAAATAATTATCTTTTGCCAAGAAAATATTAGTTAAAGCATGGAGGGAAGTCGTCCGAAATTGCTTCAGATCACACCACAGAACATCTAGAATCCAATTTTTTTCGGAGCCCTTAAGCGGGCCCCGAATATCACGCCGTAAGGGCTTTGCGCTTCGCGCTTCGCGCTTGCATCAGTTATGATCAAGGTACGTCCCCCCCCCCCGCCACTTTTGAGAAGCGATTGACGCCCCTGCTTGACGCCCCCCCCCCCCCATGAAATGTTCCAGCCCCCCCCCCCCCCCCCAGCGCCCCCCACTGAAAAATTCCTGGCTACGCCACTGCTCTAGACAATGATGTGTTTCTGTTTGGCAAAGCTGACTTTGTGTATAAAGTTATTAAACAGATTTTATTAATTGCTGTTGCCATATTTATAAAATGAAAATGATTGAGAAAGTGCCCTCTTTCCTAGTTCTGAAAAAAAAAAGATGTAAGGAACTACAACTCCGTGGAAAAATATGTGTATATTTGTAATGATAATGATGAGAAATTGGCAGTTTGGCAGTTTTCCAAGAGTAATTACATGTACATGTAGTTTCAATTGCCCTGTTTTGGGTTTGTATGAACTCCTATTTAAATGTGCTTATGTTCAAATATGATTTTTTTTTTCATTGTTGAAAATAAAGAGTTATACCCAGGATATGACAAAATTCGTAATATTTTTTCGAACTGATGAATGGGATGGTGTATGCATTCTAGCCTCATTTTCAATTTTTAAATGTGGCTTAAAAACACAAGGGTATATTTAATTACAATTTTAAATTATTCATCATAGGCTGGTATATTAATTTGTAAATAACTTTATGTCATTGCTTTCATTTGTCTTCGTAGGTTAAAAAAAATGGGGATTTTCTTTCAATTTATGGCCGTTTCGTGAATACAGCCAAAAGTCACGACGGCCAGTTTGCCAGCCGATCCCAAAACACTTGGTCCCTCAAACTTCCTCGAAGTAATTTTTGGACCAAAAAACACGCTCTATTCGACTTTCAAAATGAAACGCAGTTTCGGGACTCTACTTCGGAGTTTGGCACTCAATCGTAAATTAATAGGCTACGATGCACTTCAAAGGGTTACATTATATCTAATTTTCTCAATAGTATAAAGTTGGTCGGACAATAATTATGCAGTGGCGCACCCAGGATTTGTTTTTTTAGTGGGGGGCTCAATTTTTTTAATTTTTTTTTTACAGTTTTGTTATTAGTTGATTTTTTTTCCAAACAAATTTGCCCAACATTTTGGGCCGCAGAAAAATATTTGGGTTTTTTTTTAGGGGCGGCCTATTTTGACGTTGGTGGCGCTACTTACACCCCTATTATA